ATATTGTATGTACTACATACCGAGAGCAGTTCCGGCGAGTCTCTGCCTTTATGTGTTCTTAGCACACCGATGACTCGTCCCAGAAATCCCGGATTCCCTTGGAAACCGCGTGCACCAGCTTTTAACGAACCTGTACAGCTCTCTCGCGAGCTCTCTCTCGCGACCTCTCTCTCGCGCGAGCTTTCTCTGTCGGGTGCTCTATCTCTCTCGGGTGCTCTATCTCTCTTGGGAGCTCTCTCTCTTGAGAGCTCTCTCTCTCTCTCTAGGGAGCTCTCTCTCTCTAGGGAGCTTTCTCTCTCGGGAGTTTTCTCTCTCTCTCTTGGAAGCTCTCTCTCTCTCTCTCTCTCTTGGAAGCTCGCTCTCTCCCCTGGAAGCTCGCTCTCTCCCCTGGAAGCTCTCTCTCTCGGAAGCTCTCTCTCTCTTGAAAGCTCTCTCTCTCTTGAAAGCTCTCTCTTGAAAGCTTGCTCTCTCTTTTGGAAGCTCTCTCTTTCGGAAGCTCTCTCGCTCAGGAGCTCTATCTCTCGGGAGCTTTCTCTCTCTCTCTCTCTCTCTCTCTCTCTTTCGCAAAAGATCGAAATAGGAGACAAAGAGACAGAGCCTCGGTCACTTATACGAGAGATTCTAGGTTAGGCTCCGAAGTTTCCTAAAGCAGAGTTCGATCAGCTGTCCGGAATTAGCGGAAACGAGGGTCTCGAATTAGTCTCCTTCGGAGCCGCTAGCTAGTTTAATTGCGCTCGCTATCAATTTCTCGCGGACCGACAGTTATCGAGCAGATTCGCCAAGCATTATTATCCGGTTAATCTTCGCGGCAGTGACTTTCTTCCACGTACGCGCAGCGAGCGTCGCGATTTCCAGGTGCTAACTGGGCAAAACTCTCTTGTTTTACGTTTATTTCGTGTCGCGTGTCCCCGCAGCTTTGTTGTAACAAATGAACGCACTTATCGATTCATATGTGCCGTGTTTTTTTAACAGTTGTATAACAAAACATTTTTTTTTCACCAAGAAATCTTATCGATTGAAAAATGATAAAATATGGTAAAATGAAATGAAATTATCTTAATTTAAATTGAATTGGATTAAAGAGAATTGAATGAAATGAAATTAAAGTGAATTGTATTAACATAAATTAAAAATAAATGTATTGTAAATCGTCATTTGCAGAACTAAATTCTTCTTCAGCAGATTAATATAATATATGTATACAAAAATGCATTTCAACCGTGTATAAAAACGTAAATACCAAACTTATTTTAATAATATATATATGAATCGAGTTAGGTGGCATAGAAATCTCATAAACGGTAAGCATTATTTCATAGCTTCCTCGGTTAATAAAAAGTAATAATTAAAAGCGAAATGGCGAAAAGTGTAATTATTATTTCCATAACTAAATATAATTCTAACAGCAAGCGATGTTCCACAATTATGTTAACATCTAGAAAGGGCAGATTCCTGAGGTCATTTCAAGCAACTTTTTCCTTTGCGAAAATGTGATCCGCAGCTTCATTTACGAGTTAGATCATATGCCTTCTGACTCCAAAAAATCCGGAAAATGAATTCTACTAGTCTCAGTAACTGGTCCAAAATTTTGCTGTCCACATAAGGGGACCAGTTACGGAGTCTAGTGGAATGGATTTTCGGGATTTTGTCATCTGTCCGGAAATCAATCCTACCAGTCTCAGTAACTGGTCCCTCTAGGTGGACAGCAAAATTTTGGACCAGTTACCGAGGCTAGTAGAATTCATTTTCCGAATTTTTTCGAGTCATATCATATAACTCGTAAAGGAAACCGCGGATCACATTTTCGCAAAGGAAAAAGTTGCTCGAAATGACCTCAGGAATCTCCTCTTTCCAGGTGTTAACATAATTATGGGATACCTTGTCCTGTGGACGGATTTCATTGCTATGATTTCAGTTGATGCGACGTTAGTATGTTCTCCATCTTGCATCAGCAGCACGACGCGATCTGTTTCGAACAAATTAGACACGATAGAGACACGCAGACTCTCGTTCGTCTCGAATTCCTCTTAATTCCGGCTTCCTATTCTCCGTCTCGCCGGCTGCAACAAAGACGATGTTATTGTCGTTGCAAGCGAAAAACGACGAGCCCGGGAAAAAGCGAGCAACCGTACGATTCCAAGCCCCCGTGCTCCCCCATAAATGTCGCGTAATTGGTTCGGGGAAAGTGCTCGCGCAGCTATCTCGACGAACACATTCTCCCGGCGTTCTAATAACTTTCAGCCGCGATATAAGCTGTTTTGAGTATGCCCTCGACGGTGCACGCTGTATAAACATGCATACACCCGCCCACCCCGGAGAGTGAAATGGGCGAGCAATGCATGTCGCGCAATACGGAACGCGCAGGTTCGATACGCATCCTCTTGGCTTCTACGGTAGCTGCATCTGCTCCGGCCCGATGAATTCGTCCGCGGAACGATCCTGAATACTATTATCGCAGCCTGGGAAACCTCGATTTCCCGATCGAAAATTCCCCGGGCAATTAAGATCCGGACGCACGCTTTTTCGGCGATTCTTTGGCTCGTTCTTGAACGTCCGGGTCCGAAAAAGCGACGCCCTAGACCAGGGCACTCGAAGGTTAACCCTTTGAACTCGAAGCTGCTTTCACGCCGAAATCGAGGCGATTGTTTTCGTTGAAGTAGTATGATGTTAACGCTTTAATGGCCGCACGTCTACGCAGTCAAAGACGCCAGAGACCGGCAATTTTTATGTAAATTTAGGAAACGACGAACGATAACAACACGTTTAATGCAACAAATTTAATATTTTTCCTTTATGTGATAAAGCAATCACCTACATAATTATTAAAGCATCGCACACACACACACGTTGTGTGAGCGGCCATTAAAGCGTTAAACCCATTTGTTTATACTATACTTGCGATTATAACAAAATTTAGATTTTAACAGCATAAACATTTCTGATTAAATTACTTTGAAACGCGATAATCATTTTTAGAGCCTCGGACTCGCCTCTCGAGTGCAAAGGGTTGACGCTGCGAGGTATCGGCCGCCACCAGCGAGGAACGGAAACGTTGCTGACGCTGTTAACGATGTGGACGCCATTTTATCGGAAAAACGAGACGAACCTCTCATCTATTTCGGCCATTTTACCGCGTCGAATTGGTGTTTACTATCAAACGCCGCGGAGTCGTGTTAACGAAACGGCCGGTCGGGCAAGATGGCCGCGTTTCCCGGTAACAGTGCAATAATATTCAAACGATAAAGTGGAACACGCAACGCGCGATCGAGAGGCAGCCTTTACGATCTCCACGGGTGGCTGTTACTTTCTACTAATTGTTACAAGCCCCGTTTCCCCGTAGAAACGGGAGATCGGCTTTATATCGGGTTTATAAAATCCTCGGGCACAAAACCGGGCGTATTGTTCTGTCGCCGGTCGGTTATCCGTGTGCGTGCATACATACGTGCGTGCATGCGATTCGAAGGGAAAAGCTGGTGTCGGTGCCGTCGCGCGCGCGCGCTCGTCCGTCCTTTTTTCCCACCGCACAATAAAACGTTATTCCGGTTTTAGTGTTCGCCGGCGAGAGACCGGGAAACGAGTATGGAAACGCGCGCGATACGATCGGTCGATCGTTACTCCTTTTGTCCGGCGCGCACGGATCAAATAAAATTTATTGGATCATAAACGAGTGAACCTGCACGCTCATCAACAAAAATATTCGGGATCGTAGCCGCGCGACCGCTTTCGGCAGCCGGTGGTGGACGATGCGTCGTCGCGCCTCGCCGCGCCGTCCTCGTCGTAACCGGCGATCCTCGAACCGCCGCGACGGATTCTCCGAGCTTTAATTGAACCTCCAGCAGAGATTTTTATGGGGCGAAACCTACCAGCGGCCAACAGCCACCGGTCTCGCGGATGCCGGATGCGATGGCCCCTCGAAAATCAATTTCTTCGGCCTCCGAAAGAATGATTTCGCCTCGGCGAAAAAAAAGCCCGTCGACGAACGCCGCCGATTCCTTCGCGATTCGCAAAGCTCTTATTTCTAAGCGGTGCCGATTGGCCGACTGGAAAACCGGGGCACAGTAACACCAACCCGCGTCTCTGGTCGGTGTTAGCGCATTTCGCGCGCCTCGCGGATCGAGCTTCGCTTTGCCCACCGGTAAAAAACCAGTGAGAAATTTGAACAAATTTGAACAAATTCATTTCGTAGGAACTATTTAGTCGTTTCAAAGCTGATAGTAAGATTTCGATGACGAGCGTGCGGCGACGAGGATTTTTAGGCGCGGAATATCTTCGCGATCGCGTTGCAGCGTCGTCCGCATATTCTTCGATTTTTCCCGGTGGAAGGTGGCCGATCCGAACGAGACACGGGGGACGTCGGAGAGTTTTTGCGAGACTAGCAACTCGGTCCGGGATTGGACTGTTTCGTGGCCACAGGCGTCGCGTTGCGGTTATATCCGGTCGTCGTCGCGGCGTCGGCGGCGGCGGCACGCGATTCTCGCGCAGCAGCCGTCGCTGTCGATACAGAGAGGAAAGACCGCTTTCATAAATTCTGTCGTGTTCAACCGGCAATTAAATTGGAGGAGAGGTCCGCGCACTGTTTTCTGTTCGTCGGTGGACTTGCAAAAAATAAAAAAGCCCAGCGAAACGATCCTCCGCGAGCGGCCGCGCCGCGCGCCGCGTTCCATCAATTACGGCTCGTATCCACACGCGCGCCGTCAAGGGTCGCATTTTTTTCGACGCCGCGCGACACCCGCGCACCCTTCGTTTGCCGTTCCCCAGCCCCCGGCCTCCTCTCTTATTTGCGCAAATATTTGTCGCATAGAACGGCGACGATGGATGTCGGCGAGGCAAGAATTATGGAATCGCCGATAAACGAACGCGTGTAATTGGCGGGTGCCAGCTGGGGGTTGGAGGACGCGCGAAGAATAAACAGGACGAGAGAGAGAGAGAGAGAGGAAGAGAGAGAGAGAGAGCCGGTGTGGTGGATGCACACGCTCACATTGTGTTTGCTTTGAATGCAGGTATCGGACAATTTCAACAAAGAACGGAGCCACGGCATCCCGCTGTCTATTGGCCGGGTCTTCAGGGATTAGTCAGTGATCCCCTGGCATGGCGGGCAAGACTTCACACACGTGAGTTACCTTTTCAATCTCTGCGAACGGCGACCCCTTTGGAAATTATGCTTTCTTTTCAAACGTTGTCTCTCTCCTTCGGCGACTCGATATACTTCATTTTATTGGCCGGTACATCGGCTCGCGCGCGCGGTCTTCGTTTCCATTTGAATTTCCCGCGGAACAATCGTCTAACAATTGTACGTCATTCGTATTTCATTTGTTTTCCAACCGTGCGAGAGGCAAAGTGATTAATTTTATGGACACTATGAGGCGACTAGTTTGAATCCGATCGAATTTATTTGTACACGGAAGTAGATCCTTTGGTACATATTTTTTGGTCAATGAAAATTGAATCTATTACACTATTATTGTTTAACGTAGCGAATGAATATTAATTGGGATTGGTAATTTATTTATTGCATTTATTATAATATTCAAGATTGGACCGATTAATCGAAACTGTGCATCGATTACAGCACGTTCTATTTCATTAAATTTGATCGGTGAAGTGTCAAAAAGTTGATGCCGATTTTAGATAAAAATTCATTTCGTTAACTGTACCCCCGCATAATCTATCGAAGTAATTAATAATAAAAGGTCGAACAAAAATAGAAAAGAAAGACATCGAGTGATTCGGAGCGATTATATTGGCACTGTTAATTATTGGATTAATGCATCGGACGCGTGAAGAGAGTTAACAAGAACGAAAGTTCACGATTTAATAGTGCAGCAAAAAAATATCGAAGATGGTTCGTTCGTCGTCTATCCTTCTAGATAATTTACAAGAAATTAATCCTACTAGTCTCAGTAACTGGTCCAAAATTTTGCTATCGACCTAGGGTGACCAGTTACGGAGACTAGTGGGATGGATTTCTGAAGAGATCCCACAAATCCAGAAAATGAATTCTACTAGTCTCGGTAACTGGTCCAAAATTTTGCTATCGACCTAGGGTGACCAGTTACGGAGACTAGTGGGATGGATTTCTGAAGAGATCCCACAAATCCAGAAAATGAATTCTACTAGTCTCGGTAACTGGTCCAAAATTTTGCTATCGACCTAGGGTGACCAGTTACGGAGACTAGTGGGATGGATTTCTGAAGAGATCCCACAAATCCAGAAAATGAATTCTACTAGTCTCGGTAACTGGTCCAAAATTTTGCTATCGACCTAGGGTGACCAGTTACGGAGACTAGTGGGATGGATTTCTGAAGAGATCCCACAAATCCAGAAAATGAATTCTACTAGTCTCGGTAACTGGTCCAAAATTTTGCTATCGACCTAGGGTGACCAGTTACGGAGACTAGTGGGATGGATTTCTGAAGAGATCCCACAAATCCAGAAAATGAATTCTACTAGTCTCGGTAACTGGTCCAAAATTTTGCTATCGACCTAGGGTGACCAGTTACGGAGACTAGTGGGATGGATTTCTGAAGAGATCCCACAAATCCAGAAAATGAATTCTACTAGTCTCGGTAACTGGTCCAAAATTTTGCTATCGACCTAGGGTGACCAGTTACGGAGACTAGTGGGATGGATTTCTGAAGAGATCCCACAAATCCAGAAAATGAATTCTACTAGTCTCGGTAACTGGTCCAAAATTTTGCTGTCAACCTAGCGGGACCAGTTTTACTGAGACTAGTAGAATTCAATTTCCGGACTTTTGCGATCTCTTCAGAAATCGATCCCACTAGTCTCCGTAACTGATCCCGCTAGGTCCACAACAAAATTTTGGACCAGTTACTGAAACTAGTAAAATTCATTTCCCGAATTTTTTGGAGTCAGAAGGCATATCATATAACTCGTAAAGGAAGCCGCGGATCACATTTTCGCAAAGGAAAAAGTTGCTTGAAATGACCTCAGAAATCTATGGGATACCCTGAAAAATTAATCGTTTTATCCGTTATCAAGTGATAAGAAAATAATAAAATCACAAGTCGAGAAAGACGATGCCTTCGGGAATGGAAAAGATCGTCGAAGTCGAAGACTCGAGAAGCGAACGATTCCTAGGGTCTCCGGTGAAAAAGATTCGGTCGAAAACATCCGAAACACGTTTCTCAGCCTAGAGATATTTCTCTTTCCCCCCCAATATTAGACGGATTTGACAGCTGCTCGTGTTTGCTCTCGCGACAGGGAGGTCGAAGTGAAAAAACACGTGCTGACGAGCCGCTAAATGCTATTCCAGAGATCATAGAAAGAGACCAGAGAGTCGAGACGAGCAGAGGAATCTCGGGAAACAATTTTTTCCCGGATGGAGACGAGACCGGGACCTCGAAATGATCGAAAGGACAGGCTACGCTTTTTCGAGCGGGTGGACAAAACGCTTTAACACGTTGCTCCGTTCGGTTAAAGCGACGCGAGATCGTCGCGCTAACATGAATACAGTGAATGATAATCCTTGAATGCTGGCCTAACCGTAAAAGCAATGGTCGCAGCGAATGGCCAGTGTGTTAGGTCGTCTCGTAAGTTCCTGTCGTTTAGGGTAGCGCAGCCGGTTACCGGGGACCATTTCCTGTGACTTTGGTTTGCTTTCGGGTATAATTAATTTTACATTTATTTAATAGGACATTAGATTGTTCGATCCCTTTCATAAATATGGCGTCTATATTTTTCCTTTATTTCTTTCGTGTTTGAATAATTTCGATGAATTAAATTTTGTATTCTTTTATTTTGTTTGAGAACTATTCTGAGTAATCAAATTATTTTATTCTTTTATTTTGTTCACATTTTTCTAATGGAAGACGTCTTGTTCGAGAATTATTGAAGTTTATAATAATAAAGTTAATTAACCTTGTAGTAAACTCTATCTAGTAAACTAATTTTCTTGTGGACTTAAACAATATATAATAAATATCGTGGATGTAGACAATATATAATAAATACCGTGTACTTAAACAATGTATAATAAATACCGTGTACTTAAACAATGTATAATAAATACCGTGTACTTAAACAACGTATAATAAATANAAGCGAACGATTCCTAGGGTCTCCGGTGAAAAAGATTCGGTCGAAAACATCCGAAACACGTTTCTCAGCCTAGAGATATTTCTCTTTCCCCCCCAATATTAGACGGATTTGACAGCTGCTCGTGTTTGCTCTCGCGACAGGGAGGTCGAAGTGAAAAAACACGTGCTGACGAGCCGCTAAATGCTATTCCAGAGATCATAGAAAGAGACCAGAGAGTCGAGACGAGCAGAGGAATCTCGGGAAACAATTTTTTCCCGGATGGAGACGAGACCGGGACCTCGAAATGATCGAAAGGACAGGCTACGCTTTTTCGAGCGGGTGGACAAAACGCTTTAACACGTTGCTCCGTTCGGTTAAAGCGACGCGAGATCGTCGCGCTAACATGAATACAGTGAATGATAATCCTTGAATGCTGGCCTAACCGTAAAAGCAATGGTCGCAGCGAATGGCCAGTGTGTTAGGTCGTCTCGTAAGTTCCTGTCGTTTAGGGTAGCGCAGCCGGTTACCGGGGACCATTTCCTGTGACTTTGGTTTGCTTTCGGGTATAATTAATTTTACATTTATTTAATAGGACATTAGATTGTTCGATCCCTTTCATAAATATGGCGTCTATATTTTTCCTTTATTTCTTTCGTGTTTGAATAATTTCGATGAATTAAATTTTGTATTCTTTTATTTTGTTTGAGAACTATTCTGAGTAATCAAATTATTTTATTCTTTTATTTTGTTCACATTTTTCTAATGGAAGACGTCTTGTTCGAGAATTATTGAAGTTTATAATAATAAAGTTAATTAACCTTGTAGTAAACTCTATCTAGTAAACTAATTTTCTTGTGGACTTAAACAATATATAATAAATATCGTGGATGTAGACAATATATAATAAATACCGTGTACTTAAACAATGTATAATAAATACCGTGTACTTAAACAATGTATAATAAATACCGTGTACTTAAACAACGTATAATAAATAAAATACTGTGTACTTAAACAACGTATAATAAATAAAATATCGTAGTCTCAAGCAACGCATAACAAATACGGTGCACTTAAACAGTGTACAATAAATATTGGCGAACTTAAAAATTACAAAGCACACCGCATAAACTACAAACACATCCACATCACTTCTGCGACGTCATCAAACGCGATCCCATCGAAGGGCTGCTTAATCCCCGAGCAGCTATCATAATCGAAAACCGTTAGAGCTGTATCCGAGAGAGAGAGAGTCCTTTAGCCAACGATCGTTGATGGAGAAGCAACCGAGGAACTTTACGAGTACAAATAATCGACGTAAAGAGCAGACCGTGGCGCGCGGACAAAGGGAAGAGTTGCCAGAAACCCGAAGATCTTGTGACCCGGTGAAATAAAAGTCACAGGGGGATGGATGGTTCCCGTAGCTCTAACCGCGTCGAGGAGGTCCTTCGCCGCAGGGTCACTTCGGGAACCGCTTTTTCCCGGGGAGGTACGAAAGGAAGGCACGGGAATAGAAGGTGGGAGGGAGGAAAGAAGGATAGAAGGGAAGAAGGGAAGGAAGGAAGGAAGGAAGGAAGGAAGTTGTCGTCTCGGCGCGTCGCTTCCATAACTCTGGCCCCAGCGATTTGTAAAAGCGATTAAGGCCGCCGCAAAAAAATCACAAACAAAGTGAAAGAACACGTGACGGCGGGCGGCGGAGAGACCGAGCATCCCCTTTCGGGAGCATACATCAGCCCCGGTGGCGGCACATGTGCACGCGCACACCACCCCGCGCGGCCCGCCGCGGCGCTCTGTCGACGGAGGGACCCGAGACGAGAGAGATAGAGAGAAAGAGAGAGAGAGATTGAAGAGAGACACTGAAGAGAGAGAGACGCAGTGAAGACGGAAAAAAGGAGAGCGACATTGAGACGCGACAAAGAGAAAGAACGATTGAGTAGAGGAAAAGGGAGAGAGACATTGCAGAGAGAAAAATTAAGAAAAAGAGAGACAATCAAGACAAAAGAAGAGAGAGAGACCTTAAGAAAATAAAAAAGGGAGAGAAAGGGAGAGACAGACATCGAAGAGAGAAAAT